GGAAACCACAATGTGCAGCTTCCACGTAGAAAATGGCCATAGAGCGATCGTCAACTTTACGCGCAAATGTTGTCAGCAATGCAAGAATCTGTATTAGACGAAGTTACACCTACCTTGTTGATTACTCCAGGAAAGATCGGTTGACCTTTTTCGTCCTTCATTTGTCCCTTGAAGTAGATCATGTCCCATAGTACATGAGCCTAAATATATTGAAATCAATCCCGGAATATAAACGGTTTTTTCTTACTTGTAAGTAAATCTGATTGAATGTGTTTTCATTGTGTACAAGACCATAAATCGGTGGATCATCTTTTCGTTCTGCTGCGAAAGTCCCGAACATCTAAAATTTGTACTCAGCTTTACAGGGCTTTATAGGCTAGACAGCAGTCTCCATGCTTGAATCAGCTAAAACTGGTTTTCGCCAGTCGTTGCGTAATCACCCACCTTATCCCAGATGATAAATACACCACCGTAGTTTTTATCTATACAGTACGGGTTTCGACCATGGTGGACACGATGATGTGACGGCGTGTTGAATACGATGCCAAGAGGCCCCAAGTCATCAATTAGCTGTAAAGAAAGATTTCAATGTTGGAATATGGATCAGTATGTTATGAAAAAGGGTAGGAGGGAAGTATGAATGAGATTTTCGTAATGTAAGTGCGCTTACGCTAGTGTGCATGACAAATTGGAGGATCTCGCTAAAATATCGATGGACCAGGAATATTGGTGGCGGAATACAGAAAGCCTGAAATTCAATCATTCATGACGGGTCTCGTTTTCAACCATCTTCAAATCTAAGATACCTGGAGAACGTCATAGATGGCTAAACCAGCATCTTGTATGGCAGCTTGACGAAGCGCTGTGGAAAAATTATAGTATTCCGAGCTGTGATGGATGGTGTGTAGACCCCAGAAAAAACCGGCTTCTGCAATCAGTGGGACGTAAGCTTTCTATTGAAGCTAAATATGTAGCTCATAAACGGAAATAATATGAATATGCATGACCTTGAGCACCGATTATTGA